ATTGATTATCAAAAATGTTATTATAATACTCCCAATCAACTACTGCGGAGGGTAAAGGTACTGTTATTTCACCCTTTTGAATTTCGTTGAGGTTATGTTCCCACATCGTTAGCTAGTTTGGATCGCTATAACTTGAATGACTGTCAACTGTTGAATGAACGAGTGTCAAGCATGTCAAATCGCGCTTTGTTTACTTCCAACCGGAAGTCGCGCCCACTTTTGACGCAAGGCCTCATGGGGCGTAGGAAACTTGTGGATATTAAAGAGCCTTTCGGAACGCCATACAAATGACACAAAGCGAGCGCCATAATCCGTGGCATTATCCACTCGCCATAGTCAGTCTCGTCGCCGAATGGAACATTCCGAGCGCCATATTTTGTAAACATTTCTCACATACGCCATCGTCACGTCGCCGTCAGTTACATTCTTTTACTGTGACGTCGCGGCTGGTCTGGCGTCTGCGTCTCTATCAATTCCATTCAAAATTAGACACGGACTGACGGCGACGGAAGGGTAGACTGCTCCTTCGCCTTCTTCATGGAAGTCTTAGAAATGTCACTTTTCACTCGCCATAGGCTAGGAATCAAATGACACAAAGCGAGCGCCATACCACATTGCCATAGACATATACACTAGACCTCACCTTGGATACGGCAGTTCATTAGAACGAATGCGTCAATAGAGCCGCCATCTTGAAACAGGGGAGCCCCTCCACTTTAATGCATCAGCGTCAATGTAGTAGACACAGGTCTAACGCAAATAAAATCACCATAAATCATAATGAATGCGATTTTTCTTGTTTTTTTGGTTTGTTCCAACGGTCAGACATGTATTTATCATTGATTCCAGAAAAAAAAAAAATATTATTTTTTTTTTTAAAAACATTCTTCCTAGTTCAGATTTCATCCGTGAACTTCATACGCTGCACAAAAGTCCATCAATGAATTCGAAGTAAAGGCAGAGATAGCAGCGTTACCTAGCTACTTCCAAAGCCAGTCTACGGAAAGCCTGTTCACTCCCTATTAAGCCCCATTGTAACGAATTTTTGGTTGTAGTTCCACCAAAATTCCACTGGGGGCAATAGTCGAAGTGCAAAATGAATGGGAGTCTATGGGGCTAAACGGCTAAATTTGTCTCTTTCACCCGATTGTCATTGAAAAATCTCACATTTGAATGTAGGATTTGCAAGTCCAACATGGGTTATAGGTCGAAAGTTGAATGAACGAGTACTTCTGTCATTTTGATTTCTTACAGGTTGAGTTGTTGTTGCCCATAACACGCTAGCATTCTGCTAATGGACGCTGATTGGTCAGTGAAGGACTGATTACGACCAGAGACACCGCTTGATGGCATCGTCCATAGCGGGACCAATGTTAAGGCAGACTGAACTCTCACACATGTATTTACCTTACAGTCTATAGGATTTACCTGTTAGCAGTGTTGTCGATGCCTTGAGAGATAAGAAAGTGCAGAATGCAAAAGCACAAACATTGTAAATACATATTGGCCGCTTTGGAGCGTTGCTGCGATAGTTTTCTTGTTGTAGAAAAAGCATTTTCTGTGGTTGACCCGATTGATTTCAGCAATAACAAAGATAACTGATAGATCCTTTATCTATGGTAATATTACAGTACAGTGCAAACAGTAAATATATGATAAATTGAAAAGTAATAGTAAATAGTTTAGTCAATATATTAAACAAAACAGTATACAGCAAATAAAATAGTAATGAAAAGGCTATATAAAATATAGGGTAGGTATACAATAAATGACATAACCCTGTCTATTTTTAAGTTTTATTGATTAGTAAGAGACATAACAGTATAAGTATCCTAAAAGGTATAAGAAGAGTTATACAAGACAAGAAATAAAGTAAACGGTTCAGACACAGCAGGATACAACATTAAAATAGCCACAATATAAAGTTATGAAACTTCACTTTGCCGTCAGCCAAAACGATTTTCCAAGGAAAAAATGATACGATTAATGAGACCAAAGATCGCCCGTTAGATATACACAAGACGAATTACATGTCATGTTTAACCACAAGACGAGACTTCAGAGCCAGCGGCAAACGTCAGAAGCACTAACCGAGGTAAGGCTGATCCAGGTGGGGTGCAAAGCGCTGAGTCGCCGGTAAAGCCTTGGGTGTTACATTCCGAAAACGTCAGATCAAAATTTTAAATAGGCGCTATTTTTATAAATAAACCACAGATTTGAGCTTTAAACAACTACATTGCCGACTAAAAAACTATGAAAACCACATTTCGTCACACAACAACAATAGTATTTTTAAGTTTCGCGGCTTCTCTCATCTGTCAATGCGCGGAAGCACCAGTGACTGGAGGATTGCCGTAAAGCAGGTCTCTGGTCGTACGATGTGTATGACGTCATTGACATTTTTAAAAGACTTTTTAAAGCAAATAAGTGACTCTAAAAAACACCTAGTAATGTGTAATTTATTTGCATCTTCTTTCTAAAACAACATTCGAATTACTAGATACAAAATTATATCATGAGAAAAGTGGATTTTATTGCTCCGTAGACCTCCATTCATTCTGCACTCCGCCTGTGAGCGCCCTCATATGGAACCAGAGTGGAACTGCAACAGTTCAGAACCCGGAAGTTTAATGTGAGTGGGAGTTCTCGTCATATTAGACTTTCTTGGTATTTACTCATAATTTTACACCACATGGTTCCACTTTGTGGAACAACAGAGTGATAACAATTAGTAGAAAAACACTTTTTTTCAGAAATTGGTTTGAAAAGGGAATCATCTTCATCACTGATATATTGGATGAACAAGGAAATTTTCTTAGTTTTACGGATTTTAAAACAAAATTTGATATACAAAGTTTAGTAAGGGATTATAATAAGGTATGTAAAGCAATACCAATAGCCTTATTAAATATGATACGAAATTATTTACATTATTCCAAAGGTCAAGTAAATTTGCCTAAATTGCAACTAAACCAAATTCCCATAAACAGCAAAAAATGTAACAATAATTGTATTAGCAAAATATTCAAATGTAGACTATTTCATGATTTTGACCAAAATATAAAAATAAGGCACTATGATGACAAAATAACAAATAAATACATCAAGTTCATGAAATGGCCTATACCTCCTAAAATCAAAGAAATGCAATTCAAAATTTTAAATGGATATTATCCAGCAGCAGCAATGCTGAAAAAGAGATTTGGTTTTGAAGTGGAGCCGTGTGTGTTCTGCTCCCAGGAAGATGAAACTATTGAACATTTGTTTTTCTCTTGTCCAGTGGTAAGAAGATTCTGGCAAGATGTCATGAATTGGCTAGAAATAAAAATGGAGAGAACTTTACAATTGAAGTTAGAGCAAATTCTTTTTGGTAACGAAAACCTTCCGAAGGAACTCTTTAGAATTGACAATATTATAACAATTATGGGTAAATACCATATTCATAAATGCAAATGGCAAAATAAAAATCCATCCATAATAGTGTTTAAAATTGAACTGAGGGAATATTTTTTGTCTTTGAAACTTCTGAAAGACTCCAGTGAAAAAATGTATTCTCTATGTGAAGATGTCTCAAAATATTTGTCATTATAATTTGTAAAGCTTCCATGTAACTTTTTTTTTTATGATTATATGAAGACTGAGGATAATGTTTATATGTGAATAACTTTGACATGCCTTATGGACTGAAATGCCTTTGCTTAATTGATTTCATTTTAGGTTTATTTGTTTTTTATTTTGCTTATTGAATTTTGTTCAATGTAACTGTGTATGTCATGCACATGTGTCTCCCAACGAGAGATTTTGTAAATTGTTTTTTTTTTTTGTAAATAAGTGTGTTCAATAAAAAAAATAAATAAAAAAAAAGACTTTCTCTGCTACTTCCTATGACAAGACCCCTGTTCCAAGATGGCGGTGGTTTTGACGCATGCTTAGAACCCCCAGGTGAGGTCTAGTGTATATGTCTATGACATATTGCCACCTAGCCGCCTGGAGTGCACACTACATTGCATTTCACACACTTTTACGTCACCATATGCACGCGGATTTCCCACCCAAAACGCTCGTCTAAACGCAGAATAAAAAGTGATAACGCAACGCCACTTTTGCGTTTTCTCTTCAGAATCGTTTACGTGTAAACATAGCCTTAATATCACCATGTTTTCTTTACATGTGAAATAAAGAAAACAGTTACAAACTGAAACAGGAAGTGCTTCTGGACCAGTGTTGTTTACATCTTGTGAAATGGTCTATACTGAGCCTATATGAACACGACACACGTTTCACATTAATGGCATTTTCCTGCCTCTTGGAATTTTTTTTTTTTTTTTGTAGGACAGTAATATTTGTCCATCCAGAAATGATTGGATTGTCATTGCTGCAATCTTGTGAGTGACAGGTTTTACTCCCCTTGCTCGGGTAAACGTCATCAGTTGTTGTTGAAAGATGGACGATAAGTTATTTAGATGAAATATTATAAAGGCACATGTATTTTTAAAAACATGTGCACTGAATTTATAATAAATACACCAATATTTAATTAAAAAATAAGAATTGTCAATTTTGATTTCATGGTGACTGTTAAAGGGGAACTTGGCAACTATTTCAACTTAATAAAACCATTTAGAAATCATTTGGATGGTTAACCTATTCCGGTAAACCTATTACGCCAGCGTTCAGGGGGAAAACCAACCTTGCAACATGAGGACTAACATCCCGGTAAACTGAAATTAGAAGTCTCGTGAGAACCGAGAACAAGCGAGAAACACGAACTAATTTATGGCAATTCGACATAAGTCTATGATGCATTACCCACTCGGTAGACATAGCTCCAAAATAAGTTATAATATAAAGTTTGCCGGCTCTGATGCACATGAGCAGCGGTAGAAAGCAGGAGGAGGGCGCCGCAAGCGAGGTTTTTTTTTTTTTTTTATGACAGTGTTGTGAAAATATACACCGCACAGCTGTAGGGGGAGCTCGATAAGAAAACATGCGACAATCACTTTGATACATATTGGAATTTTATTTATGATACAGAACCATAAGAGGAAGCAATCTTCCAAAATCATTTTGAGGTAAAAGGTGGACAAATTGATAAATACAGACTTATCTGTTTATTGGATGATTGGTTAGACGGGGTGGGTCCAACAGATCAACATGTACAAAACAATTTATTTCTTCCAAGCATTGTTTTCATAGTCCCATTTGGCTGAAAAGCCCTCAACAGGGTTGATCCTCATATCCAACATCCTCTGGAGCTCCTTCTGCTTATGTTCAGGGTCAAAGGTATGTGGGACATCTCCATAAACTAATCAGAAGACAAAGGACATACAATCATTTGATGTTTCAATAACTGTGCAAGTATGAACCAGGATAAGATGATCAGCAATACTTTTTATGAGACATGATAGTCAATTTTTTTAACTTACCGTACTTCCTCTGCCACAATACAACTAGGCCAGTGAAGCCAATGAAAAAGAAAATTCCAGCAACTACTGATTTCCACTCTCCTGTTCCCTTTTCCATTTCAGCGAAGCTCTCTTTGAAGCTGATACGATACACTTAAAAAAATTAAAATTTAAAAAGTAATTAATATATTAAAGTGGAAATTCGGAACCAACAAAGTAGTCTTTAAGAATAATCATAATCACACACATGCAATCTTTTCCTCTTTGGACAGCACAGCCCAGGATCCCTTCTCTTTTTCCTTCAGAGACTTCTGCTCAGGACTCAGCTGCTGCACAAACTTGATGTCAGGAAGGGGGTTCTCCCGCCGGTCAAAGTATGCTGGGAGTGTGTAGTCCTCAACCTTAGCAACTCCTGAGATGACAATTAAATCACAATTCATACAAAGCATTCTTTTAGTTTGCCTTTGTTGGTAAAAAAATTATATATTATATATATATATATAGTGATGAGAAATTTTTCCACCGGTTAATCGTTGTGGGACAACACTGGCAATAAAAAAAATGTATATATTTTCCCCCTTTTCTTCACCTTGCTTTTAAAAATCACCTACGAAGCATGTCCACTACCACAATGCGAGCAGAGTAAACTTTTTTACTTTTTTGTGTCAAGTGGGAAACGGGAAGCTTCAGGTGCCACTTCATTACTGTCCAAGTGGCACATTTTCTTCTCACTCATATCTCAGTGATTTCTTGAAAAAAAATTTACTATTGAACATTGTGTATCCACCATTGTAACCACATGTTAATGAACTCACATGCAAAATTTAAATAATTCCTGCAGTTTTTTTTTATAATACAATTTATTTTGTACTTTTATAACACAAGAGATGCTTTTCAGTTTTATAGCTAATTGTGACCAAAAGCCTTGTTTTTTTTTTATCAGCTCCACAAAAAAAAAAAAAAAAGAACCTATGCAAGAGTGCAATTCAGTTTACACTAAAGGAGGCTGTATTGTACCTCAGAGTGTTAAAAAATGCCAAATGCCAAATAGTTTGGGATTTGCTGCTTTTTTCTGTTGTACCGAACTCATATCGAACAGTACCGTTACACCCTTTATTATATACAATGAGCTGAGACCGAGATGAGGACAACGAGCATGCAGATGAGCTTCCCTGAGACGGTTTCCAGACTGATCTCATGAAGTAGCGTGTGTATGACACGCCAATTCGTATTTCCATTTTTGGCGTGCTATCAAGACGCATAATTGCTTTTCAGCATGTTTATGAACGCCGTTGATTTAACGTTATATAAATATATGACTTACCTCAACCCCATCCCTAAACTTAACCATCACTTGCGTTAAAGGATTAGTTCACTTTTGAAAAAACTTTTGCTGATAATTTACTCACCCCCATGTCATCCAAGATGTCCATGTCTTTCTTTCCTCAGTCGAAAAGAAATTAAGGTTTTTGATGAAAACATTCCAGGATTTTTCTCCTTATAATGGACTTCAATGGGAACCAGGTCCAACCAAGGTCCAAACGACAGTTAATAACAGTTTCAGATGCAGCTTCAAATGTCTTTAAGCGACACCAAACGATGAATAAGGGTCTTATCATGCGAAACGATCGGTTATTTCAAAGCTTATTCCAAAAATGTAACTTTTCTAAGGACAAATGCTAGCCTTGTAATATATTGTGAGGCGCGTTTGCAACGTCACGTAATACGTAATTACGTTCAAAAGGTCACGGGCGACGTAGCCGGAAGTACAGAATCAAAATCGTCCGACATCGTTGTTTTACCTTTTAATTCCTTTTTTGAAAACGGCGTTTGAGTTAGTTTTCACGTTCAACCTATGCGTTCAACTTGTAAACACTCTGACTCTGTACTTCTGGCTACGTCGCCCGTGACTTTTTGAACGTAATTACGTATTACGTGACGTTGCAAACGCGCCTCACAGAATGGAGAAAGGCTAGCATTTGTCCTTAGAAAAGTTACATTTTTAAAATAAGCTTTGAAATAACCGATCGTTTCGCATGATAAGACCCTTATTCATCGTCTGGTGTCGTTTAAAGACATTTGAAGCTGCATCTGTAACTGTTATAACTGTCGTTTGGACCTCGGTTGGACCTGGTTCCCATGGAAGTCCATTATAAGGAGAAAAATCCTGGAATGTTTTCATCAAAAACCTTAATTTCTTTTCGACTGAGGAAAGAAAGACATGGACATCTTGGTTGACATGGGGGTGAGTAAATTATCAGCAAAAGTTTTTTCAAAAGTGAACTAATCCTTTAATGGCATTTATGACTGTTCCCTTACCATCCTAGGTAAAAAAAAGATATGACTTACCTCAACCCCATCCCTAAACTTAACAGTCACTGGGGTTAATGGCATTTACGACCGGACATTTGACGGCGTGTACAGACACGCGGAATGACGCGAACGTTAATGGCGTAGACATACACGCATACACGCGGATACACGCGAATAGCACAAAATGCGTAGAGATAACACGCCACTTGACTCGAAAGTGGCGTGTATGTTTACGCAAAAGTCATGATGTCATGTTGCGGTTTCTGACAGTTTGCGCAGAAATTCTTTGGTTATCAGGCATGTGATTGGCTAAGGACAAAAAAGCAGGAAAATATACAATATATATATATGCAATCCGATTGTTGCAGCAGCTGTCCGGGTGGCTGGTCTCAGACAATCTTGGAGGTGAAGATGCTGGATGTGGAGGTCCTGGGCTGGTGTGGTTACACATGGTCTGCGGTTGTGAGGCCGGTTGGATGTACTGCCAAATTCCTTTGGAATGCCTTTGGAGACGGCTTATGGTAGAGAGTTGAACATTCAATTCATGGACAACAGCTCTGGTGGACATTCTAGCAGTCAGCATGAATGAATGTGCTTGGGATGCTCTGGATCAGCGTATATGGCAGCATGTTCCAATTCCTGCCAATATCCAGCAACTATACAGAGCCATTGAAGAGGAGTGGACGAACATTCCACAGGCCACAATCGACAACCTTTTTTTTCTTTTAATAGCCACCACACCATCACATACCCTCCACCTAGAAATTGGATGATGTGGGGCTATTTAAATTCCAAAGGCCAAGGGATCTTTTTCAGGATGCATAGTATCCTGGATCCATGAAATAACAGGCCTTTAAAAATAAAAATCTGCCTGACTCTATTGGAATTTAACATAGGCAGTGTTTCCCCTTGGATTTTTTTTTTCAGGGGGGGACCTGCTAGTATTGCAGAGTGGGCATGCAATTTTTTATTTTTACCAATCAAAAAGCATGTCTACTTCATTTAAATCATGTATTATGATTAATTAAAAAATGTGTATGTACATATATACAGCGGTACAGCCAGGGATTTTGGGCCCTACGAGAAAATATGAGGTAAGGGCCCAACTACTGCACCCGTTCAATTAATAAAATTGATCTCTGGGGCCCCTAAAAGTATGTGGGCCATTAGAATCGTCTTATATATGAAGAGTTCAGATGCAAAAGCCTCTAAGTGCCATTTGAAATTTTCTTCTAAAATGATCATTTTTATCAAGCTTGTATATTTAGGTTTATGTAATTTCACTTAAAGGAGCTAAACGCAAGTCTCTGAGTTTTTGCAGAACTACGCCCCCTCTGGCGACAAGCGAAACTGCAACCAGAGCTGTGCGCGTTCATGGAGGAACACACACACACACACACACACACATACGCACGTTTGCACGAGCTGTTCATAACTAAGGAGCATCAGCCGCACACTGTGCGGCACACATCTTTTGTTACAGTCATAATGAGGTAATACAGTAATAAATCTGCAAGTCATTTAAAATATATGAAAGGAAAGGCATTCGAGTAAATTACACACTTATGTGTGTGAGAGGGGGAAACGGGGGTAGTAGAAAACTTCGGTTTTTGTTTCCATCTATCTCCCTGTGCTTACTGTATCCACTTATGATTGAATTATTATGGAAACACGTTCAGTTATCACTTTGTATAGGCTATGACTCGTTTGAGCCCTAGAGCCGACCGGAGATCTCTCCGTTTGTTGAAAGCTTCCCGATGTTGACTCTCTTCTTATTCCGACGCATGGCACTGGACAGACAGAAGTTTTATTTTCTGTCTCACGTGGAGTTTGCGTTGGGGTTTGTAATGAGCTACAAGCCGGTCTCTTTCCGCGCCATATACAGATTTAATGAAGTGCACGTCACCGAAAGCAACAGATATGAGCTGGATTTTATTAATCATCGGCTAATTTCAAAATCAGCAAAGACAGCAATAAGAGAGATCGGCAACAGGCATGGTAAGATCATTTCATTTCTTTACTTTTAATCAAGATGGTAGTGTTAAGCGTCTGCGACTTACTTTCACTAATTCACTTTGATTTGCGATAGATTGCGGCGCTTGATGAAGGGGCTCAGCTCAGCTGCTCGGGTGATGCGCGTCGTCATATATGACTAAAATATCATGACATATAGCTTGGTTTCAACAACCAGATGCATTTACACTTGTCCAGTTTCGTCTGGAATACGGCACAGACCACGTCCTCAAGTGGTTTGAGCGATCGAATTCAAATCCGTCTCGAATGCGTTTCGGAGGGTATTTACACCCTGGTCTTTTCACGATCGAATAGCTATCCGATCACAGAAGACACATGAAGTGACCAGGTGTAGGCTAAACAGCCCCTTTGAATCCATCGTTTACTTTTGTGGAAAGCTGACTAGAGTTGTGTCGCTCGAGTTGTCTTCTCTGATACGGAGAACGGCGGCGAATAGCTACACGAACCTGCCAGACATAGCCAGGCGAGCGTGAACGCGCATGACGTCACGCCCAGTCTCAGATTCGAGCCCGAATCCCTCTTATATATTTCACTGTACAGGGTTATAGAGGCGATCGCAGTGATCAAAGAAGGGCTCATTCAGCCCATCAGGCGATTGTTTAAGCATGTATGGGTTAGAAAACGGCTATTTTTAACATGAAAAGTTGCGCAATGCACCTTTAAATGGCAATGAAGATTACCTATTAATTGTCATTTAATTGAAATTACTGAACTTAAATATACAAGCTTGATAAAAATTGTCATTTTAGAAGAAAATTACAAATGGCATTTAGAGGCTTTTGCATCTGCACTCGTCATATATATATATATATATATATATATATATATATATATATATATATATACTAAATAAATAATAAAAACTTTTAACCAATTGAGACAAGTGGAACGGTCTGCATGTAACTTACCATGCCCACCACGAAGGCAGATGGAAGTGGATAAGGCCCGTTTACCAACAAGACGAAGTGCTCTGGTTGCCAACATTCTGTGTGAGCAAGGACACAAAAAGTTATTGAGAAATATTTTTCTTCTTTCTAGAAAATCACAACTAATAAATAAACTTTAAATAACATCTTTAACAGGAAACACATAAAAAATAAACTCTAAACCAATTACCAGTATGATCTGTATTAAAACTGTAAACTGTGTACATATTGATGCATGTGTTTGTGGTCTCCTGAGAAACATTAAAAATGATGTGATAAGTCCTTCACTAATTACAAAATCTGACACAGGTCAATATTGTATTAGGTATCTAGTAGTACAATCATATAGACCGAACGGTATATAAATATGCTATACAAATAGTTTGATTTTTCCCCTCGGTTTACCATGGTACCGCTACATAATTTATTGATACCTTAAAAAGGGCAAGGGCACAACATTAACGTTACATGACCCGATTTATCATGACACCGGCTAACTAACATTACAAGGTCATTTCTTTATTAGACGTTTTTAACAAGATAAGCATTACATTTATCACTATAATACGCATAATAAATCAATGAACACCGTGAGTGTGTAACCTAAAGTCTATTATAATCTGTTTTAATACCGTGCTGGATATTTTCGGACACATGTACCGGTCTACCGCTAGCTGCTAATGCTAAAACATAGCATTAGTCACCATCGGCAGCAGCCTAAAAGTCACTACCACTTTTTAAAAAAAATTCTCAATCGCTCGCTCGACACACAAAAAAAGCAACGCTTTACTGATTCCGACATTGAAGCAACCACAACTATCAAGAAAAAATATATATATAAAAAGATTTATGCCACACAGACCTAGCGCTTCCGTTCGTCGCTTGCTCAGGGAAGGATAAAGGAAGTGAGTCAGAAAGTGAGTGACGCGAACAGGAAATAGAAGTGCAGATCATTGTGGATACATACGAGCATAGACGCCATAGACATAATATATACATAGACGCCCTATTGGCCGCTGGAGCGTACGTCAACGGCGCCGCCATATTGGGGAGATCAACTTTCCCATACCTCTCATACCGGGAATTGAGAAAAATGCCTGTTTTGTGCGCTGCTTGGGGCTGTAAAAATCGCCACACAACTGAAAACAGCTTTCGAGGAAGTACCTTTCACAAGCAAGACTGAACGTTTGTTTTTGGTTGTATTTGGTAATGATTTAATTAGTAAGTAACGTTTAGAGATTAAATACTACTGTTATTGTGTCACGCAATGTAGTTTTAATAGTTTTTCAGTCGACAATGAGGTGTTTAAAGCTCAAATATGTGGTTTGTTTATAAAGATAGAGCCTTATTAAAAATTTGATCTGAAGTTTTAGTTGCTGTGCCCCCGCCCAGCGCTCGTCTCCCCGGCCTGGAACAGCCGTACCTCGGCCAGTGCTTCTGACTGTTGCCGCTGGCTCGGATGTCTCTAGTCTAGAGGTTAAACATGAGATATAATTCGTATAATTTGTGTTTATTTATGGTCTCATTAATCTATTAATGGTTCCCTGGTAAATAGTTTTGGCTGAAGGCAAAGTAAAGTTTCATAACTTTATATTTAGGCTATTTTAACATTGCATGTATGTTTGACTGAAGCTACTTCTGTTATAATGGCTAGCCTAGGCTATTACTGATCAATAAAACTGAAATTTAGCACAAAGAGCTAAATATTATATTTTTTTCTGTTTTTATTCTGTAGTTGAAATGTCTTATTCTATGCTATTATTATAGAATTATTAATAAACTAGTATCAATATTTTTACATGTATTCATTACCATTTTATTTGCTGTATACTATTTGTTTATTTTATTGACTAAACTATTTACTAGTACTTTTCACTTTATGTTACTATTTGCATTGCACTGCATGCCCAGTTGTACCACAACATAAATGATCCATCAGTTATCAATGTTATTGCTAAAATCTGGTCAATCACATAAAATGCTTTTTCCACAATGAGCAAACTTAAATATCTCAGTATGGGGATCTTCACCATTCTTATCCAAGAATGTTTTTATCCAGAAAAACGCAGCTCACCCGTTTACTTACATTTAATTACAATGCAGTCTTGACCTCCGCAAAATGGCGGACCCGTTGACGTATCGCAGCAACGTTCCAAAGCGGCCAATAGGGCGTCTATGTATATATTATGTCTATGATATACGCCCTATTGGCCGCTGGAGCGTACGTCAACGGCGCCGCCATATTGGGGAGAGCAACTTTCCCATACCTCTCTTTTTTTTATTTTTTTATTTTTATTTTTTTATTAAATGCTCGTAAAGGAAAACAGCACAACAACAAAAAAAAAAAACATATACCACAATTATTGTCATTGTCATAACATAAAAACAAATGAGTCCTTCAGTCCAGATTAACTGGATAAAAAAAGTGTAACAACAACCCCTAGTAATGCACTGCTGGTAGAAGCTGATGAATTGCCACTGTGTTTAAGACGTACTAAATTATCTTTAGCATATTGGGTCAAGTTAAAAGGATCTGGAGAACAACAACCTGCAACAAAGGTTCTGTGTCATTGCTGGGAATATACACAACAACGAAAAGGTAAAGGATTTGGCTGGAACATTAATACATTAGCAGAAGAATATGGATTAAATTACACAGATTATGGACCAACTACTGTATGGGGAAATGTTCCTACGTGGATTTTACCGGTACCCAACGTAGACTTAATGCTTATAGAGAAGAAAAAAGAATGGAGTGAAAATAATATAGATAATATTGGATATCTGGTTAATGACTATATAAAGAGAAAGTATTATAACTATATACTATTATTCACTGACGGATCAAAAGATCCAGGGACTGATCATGTAGGACCAGGAGCATACATACCTGAGTTTAATATAAGTATATGTAAAAGAATTAATGATAAATTATCTGTATATACAGCGGAAATGGTTGCTATTATTTTGGGGTTACAATGGATAGAAGAGGTGCGGCCTGAGAGAGTAGTAATTTGTTCAGACTCCGCTGCAGCCCTGTATAGTCTAAATTCCAAAAAGACAGCAAGAGATGATCTATTGATTGAAATTTGCACAATAATGCTGAGAATTCAAAGAACTGGAGTGGATGTGCATTTTGTTTGGGTATGTTGGTGTTGATGGGAATGAGAAAGCAGATGAGATTGCGAAGTCAGCATTGAAATTAAAACAAGATGAAATAATGACCGTTCCCTTTGGAAAAGGAGAGGCCAAATCATTAATTAAGCAGTGAGTGACGTATGGCAGAAGAAGTGGGACACAGACACTAAAGGGAGACACTATTACAGTATACAGAAATCAATTAAGGTGAAGAGCTTCAAAGGGAAATGTAGAAGAGATGAAGGTTTTCAAGATTAAGGTTTGGACATACTGGGTTAAAATCAACGCTTTATTTAATGTCAAAATGTTTGTCTGATAAATGTGAGGCTTGTAATGTTCCTGAAAATGTTGAGCATGTCATCATGAAGTGTAGTAAATATAATTCTGAGCGGAACGTCTTACAAAACAAGATATATGAATTAGGTCGGGGATGGAATTTAGCAGGGATTTTAGGGATGAGTGAGGAAACAGGGGAGTGCTACAAAGCTCGCTTTAATTTTCTTAAAGATACAGGATTAGATCATAAAATATAGTTTTTTTTTTGTTTTTTTTTTTATATATATAACCTGTAACCTGTAACCTGAAGTATTAAAATCCTGATATTGCACACTCCGGCACAGTAGGTGGCGGTATGCACCTGTTCAATTTGGTTGCGATCCGCCATAAAACCCAGAGAAGAAGAAGAAGAAGAAGCCTGCCTTCTGTCTTTGAAGCCTGCCTGTGTGAGTTGTTCAAGTCAAATCTGGAATGGAGGTGGTGTTTGAAGTGTAGGTAGTGAAAAACGTGTTCAAGGGGCTTTTATCAGATGCTATAATTTACGGAATTTATATATCGGATCCGCCGTTTACATCACTTGGTTCATTCCCAAGTATTACGATTATAAGAGAATAGGGCATTTTATTACAGTAACGTTAAGTTCTGTAAACATGTCCTTAAAGCTGACCACTCAAGCATACTGTAAAATGCTGCTGCACGCTGCTAAATATCCTCACTGCGCCGTGAACGGGCTGCTGGTGGCAGAGAAACAAAAAAAGAAGGATAGCTCGAGAGACTCAGTATTGTGTGTGGATTGTGTGCCTCTGTTCCACGGGGCTTTGGCGTTAGCCCCCATGCTAGAGGTGGCACTCACATTGGTAAGGTGATTTTTTTATTTATTTTATTTTTTAACATTTTTATTCATATCGGCTTAATTCTGGTGGTAAATGCATGGTTGTTGCTACACTCTTCGCAAAATGGAAATAACGAGAACGTGTAATATTGAGTTTTCTAGGCCACATAATCAGTCGTTGAATCAATTTAATTTTTAGAGATGTTCACAGTACAAAACACCCTATAGAAAATACACAGAATATCTTGATGTTAATTTTTCTTAATATATTAAGTTACTTTGTCTCATTTTGTTAGCTGGGTGATGAGATAGCATTGCGTGACTAAACTGCATGCGAATAAAGTTAAAGTCTACGTTACTTATCATCTCCGACTCCTATCCAACAGAGATAGGAGCTGGGCGAAAATGTACGTTACATTTTGTGACAAAAATTGCATAGGCCTACTATAGGCTAATATAGATCCATATTTGTTCCATATTCAAACTTTGTTCCATATTTACAAACTCAAGTTACTTTAAGTTAATTTATCAGGAACAAATTCAACAACCAAAGGTTACTCTAGCTAGAATGTGTCGGAATTTCAAAATGTATAGGATATAAAAAACATGGAGAAACAATACTCCTTGTGAACTCCAGATGCTGCATACTTAATCTGGACTCTATGGCTTTTTCTCGACATGGTCAATTATGCCAGATAATTTTAACTCCCTCCCTCAGTATGTCACTCTCGAATGTGCCTGTCAGATGATTTTGTCTTTCTTGTTGACTTAAATGAAAATTAACCATAGATTTACTTTAGTAAAACTGTAGAACCATGCTTTTAAAAATGGTCCATGTACCACAAAGCTTAACCATGGATTTACTAAACACACATTTACAAATAAAAGAGAACGATATGTTACTATTACACATTGCAGACTTTATTACACCAGTTAAATGACATATGGAAAGAATATAAATTGTAGCATGTGTAAGAACATGTCACATTTAATAAAATAACAAAAAATGAAGTACAATTTACAAAGAAATATTGATGATAAAGTGCTGCAGTGGCAGTGCAGTGATAAAAATGGAAGTAGTGCAGTTAATTTTTATTTGCCAATTCACAAAAAAGAGCTACTTGTTCCACTGTAAAAATGTTTTACATAAAATAATAGGTCTTTAAATAAACGGCCAACACCAATGTTTGCATTCTATAGTCTACATCCGACATAACGGGTCCCATTAACAAAATGTATTATAAAAATAGCCTAAAGGGTAAAAAAGAAAGTTTCAATCAATTACTGTTTTACACGTACTACAAAAATATATTCTAAAGAAATAACTTTAGTCAGTAAGTTATCTTTTGAGGAGAGAGCCGTTTTATTTTTCTTTGTCAGTACAATTAAAATAAAATTAGACTAAGCATTAAAATAGCGGCCTTAATGGCTATGGTGAAATAATGAGAATTTCAGCCTGCTTCTTCAACTGATTTACACTGACATGCAGAACAATTTTAAAGAAATGAGAGTGGAAAATTGGTTCTTACAGAAGTACTGTAAGACTTAGTCTCGATAAGTCGATCCACGAACGTCGTGCTGAGTGATCTGAGCTGTATGAAGTTCAGCGAACTTCTGAACTGTATGAACCGCGTTCGGGGACTTATCGAGACTATTTTTTAAGATGGCTCCTGTCTGTATACGCGAAGTGAACTGTCTTCATAAAGTTTCTTCTTATTAAATGGTCTGTACACTTACAAAGTTCTCAATGCTTCGTTTTGCATGTATGGAGCCTCAGTATGTTTCTGTGTTAGTGTGGGGCTATTTTGAGCCTTGTTTGTGGTATAAAGTAGCGATTTCTTTTTACTTAGTCAATGCCCCCATTACTAGCATTATACGCTAAACAGTTTTTAGAGATAAAACTCTTTACATTCGATTATCAAGAAAACAAATATCAGATAACGATTGACTAGGTACCAATGTTTTATTAGACCAAAGGTTCATTGTTCGCCGGAGTTCTCCTTTAACATTTCAATATAGATATACGTTTCAGGTCTGTGGGGTAGGATATACTTACTCGCTGAGTTTATATTTAGCCTATGAGACGTGCTCCGCACCGGCGCCTGCGTGTCGTGATTATAATTGTTTGCTTTTATTTCTTATTTCTATTCTGTATTAAATCCAGGCAATTTGTTGATGAAACATTGATTAAAATCGAAAAGGAAAACGAAATTCACTTTAAATAAAAGCTTTGTGCTTTTCTCTGTGAGGTCTGTGGAAGTTTTAAATCCGTCTTTTAGTGCCGCTTCAGAGCGCCCACGTCCGAATAACGGATAACTGTTACATTGTTTTTTCCTCATAAATGCGAACACGAAAAATAAAATAAGATGAATATTTTATGTTCTGTGGAGAGCCAACCCTTCCTCATTCGATTTGCGCAGTGTAGGCTAAATTCACAGAATTACAAAAAATATAGGCTATATTTTGCCTCCAAAGTTAAAGTTTTTTGTTACGCATGAATGCATATTTTCTTAATATTAAATATAAAAACGCAGACTGATATTTTTCTAATATCTGGACTCCTTTAAGGGAGTAGCATGAATTAACAGATGTTTCAATATATTCGTTTAAATGCTTTTTTGAGAATTTATATTTCAAGTTTTGACTGCAAATGGCACGTCCATACGCTGGAATTCCCCAATTTTTTTTAGCATATAATTTTAATACAACTCAGTCAGAATATTACATTTTACCAAATAAAAATGTGGTCGTTACATTAAAAAAAAAAACAAAAAAACAGATGTTACTGTTTTTGTTAATGAATATAAATTTAACATTAGCTTAGTATTAGCTTGAGTTAGGATGTAGATTTACTGTCAACTCACTGTCAAATGTACATTTTGAGATAAAACATGTAATTTTAATATTGCAGCCTGCACTGCAAACTGTGCTTAAGAAATATTTTTCTATTGAGATATTTATTTTAAGGAAAAATGTTTGAATGTTCTACCTCATATTTGTGAAATGTTCACCTGTTTGGCAAGTGTTTGTCATGATATGTTATGTTCTGACAATAAAGAGTAGTTTAAAACCACAATTTACACTCTGGTTAATACAACTTTTACTTAGGAGCAAAAATCTGCCTTTAAACTTGAAAGAAATAAAGATTTGACATATCGTGATAATTATCGATATTGACTGATATAAAAAAAAAAAATTATTGTGATAATTTTTTTTTGGCCATATCGCCCAGCCCTAATCAGAAACAGATAGCTTGTTATGTAGCTTTGCAATGTTTATAAGGTGGAAAAAGGCTGTTCTTGTAACAAATGAAATATGATGTTTGAAAGACAAGTTGAGGACTAGTATAACACACCAGGTCTTTTACTGTAGTGGATAAAGTAACAGGAAATGGGACATTCCACCGAATGGGTGACATTTGCTTGTTGTAACTCTTCAAAAATAAACTTTATTTTTGGTCTTTTTCAACATCGAATCTAATTCTACACATTTTTAACTATTCAAAATATGTATTGGTCAATCTCAGGCAACTTTATTTATTTTTTTACAAGGTTTAAAGGTGCCATCTGCCATAAAAAAATCAAATCATACTCCATATTCCATACCAGATGGGGTCAGTATACCTCCAGAAAGTGAGTTGTGCACTCTCATGTCTAGGGCTGCAACAACTAATCGATAAAATCGATTATAATCGATTATGAAAATCGTTGTCAACGAATGTCATTATCGATTAGTTGGTCTGATTACGTCACGGGGATTGTTTACATGGAACATGCGCTTCTTACATGCGCTTCATGAGGCGCACACGCAGTCTCTCTCCCTCGCCGCTCTACCCTGTCTCGCGCGCGCGCAACACGGAAAGGTTTGGAGCACATTATCTTCTGTCTCGCATGCGCGCTCTTGATTCCGTGAGTTTGAACTAATTTGCGGGCATCAGGAAACCGCTATCAATATGCAGCATACACGAAAATCATTCACCTTACGGTAAATTCGCCGTTTTGAAACCAAAATAGGTGACCTACGTTAATCGTGTATACTTTATGAAGCCATACTATAGTATAATGTGAGATAGAAATGTATATTTAAGTCATTAAATTCAAGTTAACCTAAGCTTTTTCCTCCACTGCGGCTGTCAGTCATTCTCTATTCGGTGTTCAAACAGCGCTTCGCGTTACAACAGTTAACATGATGATCTCTTTCCAAGATGATTCAATGTTATTATTATAATTGATCCGTAGATAAAGGTCTATGATGGTTTTTCTATCTTGCTAGACTTTTATTGCTGTAACTTAATCACTTTCTACTGAGTGTCTGTTAGATCACAACACTATAGTAGAGTCGGCGCAGTATAATTGTTCTTCACGTGCACAGTAGCCTAACTGAAATTTAAAACTGTTAAAAGAAAAGGCTTAATAAACTATTGCATAGATACTGTATAATACACAGTCAATATGTCTTTCTCTTTCCTTGGTGCTTTTAACTTTAATGCGGCGGACACTGAAGAGCTGCGCACCGCCCTGTGACTCCGTGTTGCTTCAAGCGCATCATTCAGCGCTCGCGATGCGCATTTGCACTCTGTGCAGCTCTTTCATGATCATGTCATAATACTTCTGCACAATGAAATCTTATTAATAGCCTTTCTTGTTCTGTCCTATCTATTATATTTTGCTTCCTCACTAAACAGCTGTGCTTTACATTTAAAACAACTGTGCATCTGATTTTTACGATGTTTTTCATGAATGTATAACAACAAAGAGCAATGTGCAACGTTTTACCAGAGTTAGTGCTACACTTATTGTCTCTTATTTGTTCCCCACTAAGGAATGTTTTTTTCACTAAATGTTTAGATTTTATAAAATTATTGTGCACTTGTGATATTTCTAGGCTAAGTTTTGCTGAGTTATCCACTAATCTAGTTTACAATAGCATTTTTGTCATAGGTTATGGTCATATATATTTTTTTTATTTGTTGTTTTTCTTTATAATGAAGTTATCTGTATTAAGTAGATTGTTTAACACACAAAA